AGAGCCCTCGTTTTCCCTCCTACTGCCCTTGAGTCAATTGTGACTCAGAGGAACCTTGTGGGACAGAGCAGGACGGGCCCACAGGGTATTCAAGGGTGTGCACCTCACAGCAGACGCCACTGCCCTCCCGCAGCTGGTCGGTTTGAAGCACCTACTTTTGGGGGGAGGTGGCAGACAGGTGCTTAACCACTGTACCATCAGGACTCCTGTTTCCCCAAACAGGATTTATTTTCAGCATTGTTGCTAGGGGCTGAGAATTCCAGGGAGTCTCCCCCCTTCTTTTTTTTTTTCTCTGAGCTCTAGTGGTGTGATCCCTAGGGAATTGTTAGTTAACTCAAAGGCTTCTATCTCTGGCAGTTTGAAGCCATCAGAGGCTCAAGGGGAGGAAGATGGACAGTCTCCTCCAGCGTTATTTACAGGCCGGGAGACCTGCTCAGATGGTCAGCTGAGTCCATTCTGACTCCATGACAACAACAAGGTTTGTGTTTTCTTTCTGCAGCCAGGCTGCTCCCCACCCCCACATCTTCTGTCAGATGTCAAGGTTCCTCACGGGTCTTTTGCATCCTTTGCTGCTTCCCTTCTGAGGGTACACTAGGGCTGCCTGACCACAGGCTTGGAGAAACTTCCAGGGGTTTGCTGGGTTCATTTAGGAAGGTCAACTGATCGCCCATCCTTACTGCCCCTGATTCTTCCAGGTGCAGGGGGGCTGGGAGTTGGCAGGAGTGATGAAGTAGCCAGCAAGGTCTTTAGCCAACTCCATCCTTGTTTTGACCCATCGCCAGTGTGAGTTATTTTGGTCCCCGGGACTTGTGGCTGCACCATGATTAGAGTTTGATTACTATCACCAAAGTGACTAAAAGATGAAAATAGAAGCCACAACAGGAAATAAACAACTGCAAATGAGATATTTTATTCCATATTCCCTGCCAGCAAATGATTAGAATCAAACTCATTCACAATAGTTTAGTGAACTCCTAAACTTTTTTTTTTTTAAAGAGGCTTAGAACAATCTTGAGAAGCAGAGCTCATCTGTTACATTTATGTCCTTGAATGGGAAAAAAGGGACTTTTGTGTAGGAATAGAAGCCTGCCAGGAGCCCCTCAGCCCCGGTATCTTTCTTGGAAAGGAGGAAGAATGGGGTGGGTGGGGTTGGCGTGGAGGAAGTCATGGGATATTAACTGATTTAGGGGGTGTCCGGACCTCCGAAGCAGCCCAGATCCAACCTCTGTAGCATCTTGCAGCACCCCACCTGCACCTTCTACCTAGACTAGTAATATGGAGGAGGGCCAAGTGCAGAGGGCCAGAGAGGCATGACACCTGAATGAAAACATCCACAGTCATACCAGATGGGAGCACACTGCCGAGTACGCACGCCCCACCCAGACAAGCCGTGAAGTCAGGTCGCACTCCTGGCACACCTTCCAAACCTCCCTGCCTCTGTGGGCTCTGGCCTCTCGTGGCAAAGCACATCAAGCACCATTGGCCAAGATTTCCAAGAGCTTCTCTTCTAGTTTGCCAAGAAACTCACTGGAAGGATGACATTTGCTCAGTTTATTTAAGTCCTTCCTGCCATTTTGTGGCCTGCCCTAGTCACTCCTGAAAACTCAAGATCTGTTAGTGAGGTCCAGAGCTGAAGAGGGGAAACTCTTCAAATCCTGTCAAGTGCTGCCTACTTTATGGGTCCTTAGTACCCAAGTTGTTTTACTAGTGAGTGGGAGAGACAGGAACTCAGGCCGACTTCCAGTCTGGTACCTTCTACACCTTGCAGAAGTGCATCTGTTAGATGCTTCCCAGACGTCTCAAAAATCTCACTTCTGTCCCTTCCCGCTTGGGACCTGCCCAGGCTTGATGGAGCCACCCAGAACCAGACTTCCCCTCATCCCCTTTCTCCTGGGCTGTCTTTGCAAATGGCTTGTTTTCTTCAGAAAGTTTTATACAGTTTAAAGAAGGAATATTTTATTTACAACAAAATGAAGATCGTAGACAATTGCAGCCTCTGTGGATTTATAAAATGAAATGTTTAGAAGTGTCTCCTTCCTACAAACTGGGCTGCCAGGCCTCCTGCTGTCTTCTTCAGAACGTCCTTCCAGGTAGATGCTTCTGTAACCAGTATTGCTCATTCATTTCCTCTCCCAGTGAGGTCTCCAAAGGTGCTTTTTTTGCGACACCTGGGGGGGCGGGGTTAGGAAGGTAGGAAGTGGTCCAAATGTCTCTTGAAGTCTCACCTAGCTCTCAGCGCCGGTTTTTAGCTATTTATTAAGGAGCTACTGCACGCCACACACTCATTTGTGAAAGAGGCCCCAGCTCCAGAAGCGTCCAAAATTCATCGGTGTGTGGAGAATTTCTAATTTCGCCGGAGGGATGAAATAGTAGTACGTTTTGGCGTTTCTAAAGATACCTTAAAACCTCCTATGAGTTTCATTGTTGGGCTAATCTCACGATTCTAATGACTTTTGAAAATCGTATTTCACTGAATACGATGTGAGATTAGAATCACCATGCCAACTAGTAGCCGCCTTGCTACCGATGCGTGTATACTTAAGTCATTACGTTTCTTAGCACCCTCGGTTTCCAAGCTTTCAGGTCTTGTCCCTACCAATGCTTGCCTTACCCATTCATTTCTAGGCAGTGACCTCCGAGCTGGGTATACGTCTCCCTCCCATGGGGGTCAAGGCATGACTCTCTGACCCTAAGCACCTTGAAAATCTCCGAAGCCGGGGAGGGGAGGGGGCCCGAAGCAGGCCCTGAACGCATACGCATGCCCCAGGCACATTGCTCGGGGGTAATTGCTCAGTGTCTCAAGGCTGGCGGCGGCGGCTGGCTGAGGTCTTCCGAGCCCTGGAGGCAACTCGCTGGGCGGCTGGCGGGTGGGCGAGCCCCCGCTCCCTCCTTGCCCGCCGGGCTGCAGCCCCTCGCGGCGCGTCAGCAGGCCGGACGCATTCCAGAGCTGTGCACAAGACGCACTACTGCAGCCAGTCCCAGAAACCGGAGCCCGGAGCGGGAGCGGCGGGCGGGAGCGCGCGGCCGCCGCTGAGGTCACATTCGCGCCGCCTCCCGCCCTCGGCGGCCCGGCTGTTCCCTCCAGCGCACACTCCCAGCGCCTCGGTCCAGTCCGGTGTAAATGTCTTTTCAGCGGAGACAGCGCTCTCCTCCCCCTCCCGCCGGCGCGGCCCGCGAGCCAGCGCCAGGCCTTTAAACAAAACGAATGAATGGAGCGGCGGGGCAGAGACCGCGAGCCTCGGGGACCAGGTCTAGGTCAGGCCGGCGACCGGCTCCTCCAGTTCCCAACTCCGGGCGATGCCCGCGTGCTGCTCGCGGCGGCTGCATTCCTCCTCCACTCGGACGGCGATCCGGGGCGCCTCTCTGCGCCCCACTTCCCCCCGCTCCCACTTTCCCCCCTCTGCAGACCTGGGAGGGGTGGCAGTGGCGGGTGGGGGCAGAGAAATAGCTTTTAGAAACCCGATCTGTTGTTTGCGAAACACAATCGCTTTTTTTTTTTTTTTTTTTTAAAGCGACAGGGTGTCTAGACGGCCACGTGACGAGGCCGGAGCCGGGCGCGCCACTGCGCAGTGGAACCAGCTGAGCCAAGGCCGGGGAGGGGG